CTTATGCGACCTAGAATGAATAGAACACATCATTTGTAGGGATTTTCGGTTTTTTCCGGCAAAAAGTGAGCTTAGCGAAACTACATACTACTAACTAGCCATTACAGTAACATTAAATATTTTGTTATAGACCAAATTCACCTTATTTGTCATGAAGTTTCTGCTTGACGTGCCGGTCATTAGCGCTAGGCTTGTCTGGTTCTGAAGCCGAATATTCACACTCTTTTGACCTTGGGATGTCTGGAGAGATGCCCTTCAAAATGAAATGAAACCCTTTCTTCAAATGATGGTGACGTAGCATTCATTCTCTCTCAATCCGACGCAATAAATCCATGCTGAGCTTTTGTATGTCAGGTGACGGACATTGTCAAAACAGGAAAGCAAGCTTCACGATAATTCACAAAAGTCAGAGACAAGAAAGCATCCTTTCCTGCCCTGACGATGTCCGTCACGTGGCAACAAAAGCCCAGCACGGAAGCATCGAGGTCGTGGGATGATACGGCTTCCGATAAGGCCAAATTACGAACCCGTTCCACTCATCCCTTCAAACTAAATGGAGGGTACGCCATCAGCACCCCATTAAGGGATCAATCAAAGGTCAGTTTTTCTTCATACCCCTCTTCACTTCATCGCGTATAGACCAGCTCTCCGTCCAGAATAGAGCATTTAATGTAGGTTTTCGAGACTACAAATAGATTATGCATAACACGGTTGCTATAACTCTATTTAATCTAGGGCGACGAAGGAATTGTAGTTGAATTTGCCCACAAACACATGATTAGGCTTTAGACTTCTGTTGGTGTGCACATGGTCTTGCCTCCCAACAGTTTGTCTCATTTAGGCGGGAATGGATTGCAGCTTCGATGACGCCTAAACCGATCTCCTCAACCCCCCCAGCGGGACTCGAACCTTAGACTAAATAGGGTGAATACAACTCTTACACATAAGAGATTCGAAGGTTGGTTCCACCAGAAGACGACGGCGGATTCCTCTCGACCAGCTGTCGATTGGCTTTATTGGAACATTCATGTTGGCGCTGTTTCCGAGGCTTTCTCCTTCGAATCCCGTGAAAAGGTGCTAAGTTTCGTCCGTCATGTGACCAACATTATCAGAAAAATATATCATTCTTACAACCAAATTCAAGTTTTACTGACTCGTTAGCTTGAATTTTGTTGTGACGAGGATACCTTGCTCCGATGGTGCTAACCTTTCGTCCGTCATATGACGAACATTCTCGGAGCAAGGTATCATCGTCACAACAGAATTCAAGCCAACGAGTTAGTAAAACTTGAATTTGGTTGTAAGGATGATACATTTCTCTGATGATGTTGGTCACATGACGGACGAAACTTAGCACCTTTTCACCGGAATCGTAGGAGATTGCCTCGGAAACAGCGTCAGCATGAATGTTCCAGTAAAGCCAATCGACAGCTGGTCGTCGTCTTCTGGCGGAACCGACCTTCGAATCTCTTCACCCAACGTAAGTGAGCTCAACAATTATGAAACAAGAGAATCCTCGAAAGCAAACACTTTTCTTTTATTGATGTGCACATGTTCTTGCCTCACAACAGTTTTTCCCATTTAGGCGGGAATGGATTACAGCTCTGACGACGCCTACACGGATCTCATCAACACCCCCAGCGGGACTCGAACCTTAGACTAAATCGGGTGAATACAACTCTTATGCATAAGATCTACGGGTAGTCAAGAGAACCGTCCTAACAACGGAAAATAAATAGTGTAATCGATTGCTATGGCAAATACAACTTTGCTTTGTTGACCTGGTCTTCCTTGAAATTCACATCTGACCTGTGACCCACGGGAGCTCGCGACAGGTTGGTGTAATGGCAAAGGTGTTGCGAGTATACACTGCATTGGCACACTCAGGATTCAAGTCCCGCTTCAAGTCCTTCATCGGCTCAAATGAAGTAGGATGAAGGAGGTTGTTGGGTCGAATTTTTACTTGAGCCAATAAGTGTCCGAACGAGAAGCCGATAGCCATGGACGAATCTCGCTGAAACTGGCCAGCCGGGAAGACTGAGGATGCGACGTCTGGATGGTACAGAGCAGAGGCTGATTCGAGCCCCATTCCACTCGTTAGGCGCTGATTCTTTTCATCCAATCACCTTCTCCTCTGCCCCGTGGGAGTGTACGCGGCAGACGATGAAGGAGCTGGGCTCTTCGGACATGGCTCGACGCTGAAGGCGGCCACTGTTGCATCATTCAATCATATCGGGACACGACCCACCCTTCTTGGATCTTCTTGAAGCCTCCGGCCTGTTGGGGTCGAAGAGAAGAGGTCACCAGAACCGAATGAACTGGTGGTGGGACTGAGAAGATGGCCAACTTTTGCCGATGTGGTCATAGCGACCGGGCAACCTAACCAGAATGTGGTGTACATGCGAGGCGGTAATGTTTTAGGTCATCCTATCGCTCACATGCTGGCCGATTCATAGTTGCCCCACTGACCGAATAAAAGGCCATAGGAAAAAAACGTATATATCACAGAGTATCGATTAGAGTGGGAGGGAGGGGCGAAGGGCAGCGAGCAGATTGGGTGAGAGACGATGAGGTACAGAGTAAAGAGTGAATGATGACTATGGCGGATGGAACACATGCACCGCTGCCTAGAAACTTCATTATGCGCACAGACAGTGTGGTGGGTCTATGCAGGAGGTGGAGGATTGGAGAGCAAGACGGAGGCAAACCGGTTGAGTGAAGAGTGGGAGTGGGTCGAAGGGGTTCGATTTCAGAGGAAGAGAGGAACGATTTCACGAGGCTTGCCAGGTATTTGGTGACAGTCAGGTGGGAGATAAAATTGATGGGCAAAATAGAAGGCTAATCCAAAGAATGAGAATGCATCCAAGCGGAAGGCCATACCATCTTGGTTTTCATATCTCTAATCCTAAGAAGATGGTGAAGAGGAGATGAAAAGGAAAGAGAATGCGAAAAATTGCGGCAGCTTTTGGAGGAGAATACATATTTTGACTACGGGCTTTAAGAGGAGAGGAGAGAAGAGAAGAAGAGAGAATAGAAGAGGAGAGGAGAATTTTGGACAAATAATTTCTGCCTTCTACCGTCTTGAATGACTATAAATTTGGCTGATTAAAAGTCCAGCCATCTGCTAATCTCCAGTAGATGAGATATTTTAAGCTAATTCAAAAATGCTCTAACTCGTGCACATTTTGTCTGATCTTATGTACTCGTAAAATCACATGGAAATCATTACATTCAGCGAAATCTCAAAGCCAGGAACTCGTCTCGGGTGATGGCAATAGCGTAAAAGGGACTATATTTGGTTAGAGGATCAGCGAATTTAAGCATAGGCCTAACTAAGTAATCCGGATAGCCTACAATACACAAAAGTACTAACAAAATCTGAACAAAATGCATGACAAGTAGTCCGAAAGTGCAAAAATCTGGCAACAAAAAAGTGATTTTCTGATAAATTTCACTACAACTCTTGGTCAAACCATGCTTTTTCTTCTACTATCTGATGACGGCTTACTTTATGTCGGCAGAAGTAAGGCATATAACTCACATGACCCGATCAGATTTACACCTTTGGCTTCGAGAGATTAGGGGTATTTATTGCGCCAATTAACACGATGTTGCTACTGACTATTCAGCAGTAGTATGGCCAGTGTTCAGATTACATTCGATTGCCGGAAAAATGATAAATATAATTCGGCGACAGGATCATCCAGTTTTAAGCACTAAACGCCTTTTAGGTCTTTACACATACGAAGAGTAGCTGGGCTTCACTAAATCTCTTTGCGCAACTTTTGTATGAAAGTTGATGGTGAAGAGTTTCGTTGGTTGATTTCACGGTAAGACGACGGTGGAATTTCGGTGTTTTGTATCCGTGCTTGGCTTCAATACGAACTGCATGATGCACCCACCCTCGTTTCTGGGCGAAGCTAGAGCCTATTCTTGTAAAAGTCTTAAGCTAACACCAAGTCAAGAAGGTCTTAAAGC